TTTCAAGACCACAAAAAAAAACTGTTTCGGTCTGGTGGCTTCCGAGACCACAAAAAAAACTGTTTCGGTCTGGTGGCTTTGAAGACCACCAAAAAAGCCGTTTCCGTCTGGTGGCTTTCAAGACCACAAAAAAACTGTTTCGGTCTGGTGTCTTTCAAGACCACAAAAAAAAAAAACTGTTTCGGTCTGGTGGCTTTCAAGACCACAAAAACAACTGTACATTATGGACTCGATAACACATTACAGTACTTAATGTGCTATTATCTGGTCTCCAAACACTGAAGTTCTGGTACGCGAGTTGTACGTTTCTGAGCAGTTAGTCATCTCTCTGTGATTTAAACCAGAGAACAAAGACAAAACACAATATATCCCTTTACATAACACTGCTACTCAGTGAGGCTCTGGGCTAACTTCCAGACTATTAGCTTTTCATGCAAGTCAAAGAATGCGATAGAACCAATTATTTCAAAGGGATTGGGTAGAAGAAAGCTTTGAATATGCAGAAGGAAAGGCTTCTGGATTTCCAGAACTTTGCAGAATTTGGATGTTTATTACCAATAGGCAATAATATCGTAGATACCTGTGAAGAGTTTGTATGCCGGTTTTATGCAGACGTTATATCCAACAATAACCTACGGTACAAAATTTTCAGCAATAAAATGAAACAGAAAAAGAGCTTACCATCATGTCGTAACAGTCTTTTGAAACATCTCAAAATAGTTAATTATCAGTATGCTCTCTGGAAATATGCTTTGGTAGCAAATTCTGAGATTCTATCGCCAATTAGTAATAGTAGGACTTGGACATGATTGTCTCTTACCACTTTTGATATCACAGGTGTTTGCCCCAAGGCAGCTTCAGGAACTCGTTATATACCAATTCATGCCTTTTAAATGTTGTGGCAGGCATTGTAAGTTGGTTTAAAATTCACTGCTGCCTGTTTGTACAAAGAAAACGAAGAGAAATGTAGAAAATAACATAAAACTAAATAAGGATTCGAGAGTGACTCAGATGTTTATGATAAGAATGAAGGCGTGGACGTTAAATTGATCACAAAGGCGTTAAATGGTTGGATGGTTGAGCGGGTATCAGTGGGATACGAAGTATAGGCGCGTCCTGTTCACGTACGCTGAGAGAATGAACTATTATTGATAAGTTTTAGTCATTGGTTAGTCTTCTAAAATTAAGGACAGCTAAGTCTGAATCTTGGGATCTCTGATGACCATTTAGCTCATATGTCGCATAAAGTAATGTTCTGGTTGAAAATAACAGATAATTTGAACTTTCTTGAGGGGATGGAAATAAAATTATCTGGAACATAATTCTGTTCCAAACAATATTAAGATTCGAGACCTTAGAAAACGTATAATCGCACACAACGTGAATAATACATGCTGTGTGATTTTCTTCATTTCGTATGTTTGGTTTATACATAATATTTACATTTGCAATATGTTCACAATATACGCATATTTTGTTCCCATACACTGGGGGCATAGACTATCATTAATACATTTTTAAACATTGGTTATAGAACCATTTCAAAGAATTATATTAAATACTGTAAATATATGTATATATATATTTAAACCAAATAAAGATATTGCGCAAATCTTTGATTTTTGAAAGCTATAATTAAGTAATTGAGATCGAACGTTATGTTCAGATACAATCCGATAAACGATAACTGTTACTTTGTACAACAAGATCGCGTTTCTGTAACACTTCATATTATTATAGAATTTTACTACATCATTTCGATGTTATAATGTTGTAACAGCTTTAAAAGTCAACAGCGTTAAGTATCAAGATCTGGAAGTAAAAACATCCGGTTTCATTTGCTTTTCCAATGTATCTGTGTGTGCTGATAAAGTATGGATGTAGAGGTACATTAGAATAATGAAAATAAAATCTTTCTGAAATTCACTCTTTATCTTCTAGTTAAGATAAAGTGTATATACCATATTACTGTGTATTTTGTGTCTTATATACACTTCTCGTTGAACCTCTAAGTTACAAAACTTCCAGTAAAGCATTAGTATCTAAATAAAATCAGTGTTGGCTTAGCTTTTTTTACCTGTGGGTGAGAAATCAGAATAAAATATCAACAAGAAGTAAATATGTGGGATATTCGCTTTATTGTAACTTTTAAATCAAAAAGTAATATTTCGACTTTACTTTATTACAGTTTGGAGAGAGAGGTTCTGGCGTCAGGGCCAGAGGAGAAATTCAGGATTTTGAGAAATTACGAGATAAATGCTTGAGAGAAGGTCGATTATTCGAAGATCCGGAGTTTCCTGCCACGGACATCTCCATCTTCTACAGCCGGACTCCCCCTAGGCCATTTGAATGGAAACGTCCCCACGTAAGTTTTGTAAAATTAAGTTTTCATGCTAAGCTTATGATTTGGTTATCGAATCAGTTAGAGACATTGTTTTTCTTCCGAATTCATATTCAGTATCTAGTCAATTAATGGTTAGTTATCGATATTTTGAAACATGGAATATAAAGATACTGTGCAATTATTTGATTCTTAAAAGCTACAATTAAGTAGTCGAGATCAAACGTTATGTTCGAATATAACCCAATAGTTTTATTATTTCGGAAAGGATAAATGTGACTGCAATTTATTGTCTAATTGTTTTCTAGGCGTAAAATCCACTGCGTTGTTTTTTGATACACAATAATTCTATCACTATGTTATGTTGAACAATAAAAAGAGAGTTAATGATCGGAACTGAGGAATATAAAACGATTATTCAACATTCTTAATAAGATGGCGGGAAGTTAAGATATTATTTTCACTGCACAACATCTTAATTTTTTTCTTTGTGCAAAACTCTACTGGCCAATTTTAACTTACTTGGACTTACTGTTATTATGTACTTTCTTTGGGTGTATATAGGAGGGGCAGTCATGTTCCCTTGCTCCCCAGTGACTCAAGGGTAAGTCTTTAAGCTTACGACGCTAAAAATCGGTTTCAATACCCGTGGTGGGCAGAGCACAGATAACCCATTGTGTAACTTTGTGCTTACAACAACAAAATCAATTATTTCACACTTTTTTTTTATTAAGTTTTTTGCTGTCTAACATTTTTAATACACAGTTAAGATATCTGTCTTCTGCTAGTAAAATGATTAAAATTTCACATACATGCAGTTGTTGGCTCTGAAAACCATTACACCATAGTGTCTACTGGCTACTGGGAATGGAAATGCTAAAAGTGTTTTATCGGTAATATCGAATAAGCAATATGAGATTGGTTCTTAGCGTTTTGGGCTGTATTTGAATGTAATTGCTATTCTTTTCAATACTTAAAACATCAGAATTGAAATTCATTTTAGGCTGCTTATAATTGTAGAGGCTTTTGTTTATATTTGTTTCATTACTGTATCCACAACCTTTAAAACAACAATACAAATGTAAAAGAATAAGAATCATTCTGCAACTCGATAAATGAGCCTCAAAGACAACAAAGAATTGTTTACAAAATAATGAGTAAAACAACATTTTTAATGATTCATATGTAATACGCATATATTCATAGCTCATACACTCCAGCATGTGTACAAGCTGTCAGTTTTCGTGTCGTAAATTAGGGGGCGCGTTTGCGCATATGTTCATTCCATAATAGGCCATACATCTGGATCGTGTGATTCAATCTCCCTTCCCGTGTTTACATTGCATTAAAAATCTGGTCACGTGCCAATTTTTTATTTTGTTTTTACGTTATCTTTAATCATATATACCAAAGATGCGAAATGGAGAATATCACACAGAATGTATTATTCAAGTTCTATGCCATCAGACATTTTCTAAGGCCTCGAATCGTAAAAGTAAAATATTTGCTGGATCAGCGAAGGGGTGTTGCAACTGATGCGTTTTAATAAGTTTTTTTCAAGATGATGTCCCAGGACAGAGCGTCTACGGAATTTCCTCCTTTTTTTATAAACCCTAAAATAAATAAATATAACATTATCGTTTCTAAAAGTAAATCTTAAGGGATATAATTGATCTGCGAATGGGCATGACTCATTTCGTGAATGATAGCGCAATAAACATTGGTGTAGACATTGTGCAACTTTGGTACAAAATAACGGTTTTAAATAGCAAAACACTATCAGTATTTTGGATTAGTTTGTTTTTCAAGTCAATTGTTGATTTTAGTTTACACATAATGAAATGATGTACCATTTACAACTGCCTATATACTAATTTTGGTCATACATGGCACAAAGTGGGCTAATTTTGGTCCCAAAGTTTGATTTATTGGTGTTGAAACTGAATAAATGTGGTATTTCATCATCACTACCTAAAAGGCTTTAATTTGTTTCAAAACGTGTTTATGCTCAGTCAATATAACTTGGCTTCTCCTAGGCGATTACCATGTTAAAAAATTTTAAAACAAAGCGCCTCTGTCCATACTACTGAGCCGTAAAAACAACATTGGTTTTATTTTTCCTTATACATATCAGTTTAAATCAAACGTTTGTGTGTGTATAAGACTGGTAAAGTGAGATTAAAGTGTATATTGTGCCTTTAGATACATGATGGTAAGATACTGTTGGTGTATATACCTTATGGGTAAACTGGCGTAAACAGTTTGAAAATCTTAAGTACAGGGAATATCTAATCTGATGTGTGAGAAAATAAAACAGTTATTAGAAAAACAGAAGGAAGGCTGCAGTGACACAATCCTGAAAATGATGGATAACTATTAGGTGAACGAGAAGAAAAGGATATAAAGAAGCGTTATATGATAGAGAGAAAGAGAAACCAGAAAATATTACTTTAGAATCGGAAGTAATGTAAATAAAGAGGATCTAGGACCTTCCAAAGCAAAATAGAAAACTGATAAAAGGCTTAAAGAAATTACCAGCAGAATCGATAAAAAAAAGGGGAAATGAAAAAAAAAAAGGCCAGAATGTTTTATGAAAACTGTCATGCTACACCTGCAGGTGAAAGTGAATGCAGTAGAGAGTGAAACCACAAGCCATCAGCTTGATTTCTCATGCATCTAAAATAATACTAAAGATAATTAGAGAATAATTCAAGCAAGGGCAAAATAATATATCGGCAAAGATCAGTTCGGCTTTAGGAAAGAGCGTGGAACATGAGAACGATGAATGAATGAAGTTTGTATACTTTATGTATTTGGAAAGAGCGTTTGATAGGGTATACTGGCCAAAATTATTTAACTTGCTGCAACTACTTTGAATAGATTATAGGAACAGATGACTATTGGCAGGCATCTCAGTACATGAGGCAGACAGCTATAGCTGGTGGTGATCCAGAGGAAAGGATACTAGAAAGAGAAGTTAGAGGGTTCCTTATAATCATATTGCTACTTTTCATTATATGCTTTGAAGCAGTGTTGCAGGAAGCATGGTAAGAGGTTAAAGTAGATGTAAATATTGGAGGAAAGAAAATAAAGGCAGTGAGGTTTATTGATGATATGGCTTTAGTTGCATTATTCCGAAGAAGGCTTGCAAACTCTGGTAGAAAAATCTAATGAAACAACAAAAGATGATCGACGTGAAAAACAAACAAAACGAAGTGATGAAAATGAAAGAATGGAAAACAATAACTAGATAAGGTGCAACAGCTTGTTATTTATGGCATATTATAACAGCATATGGAAAATGTTCCAAAGAAATAAGATCAATAATTGCAATGAGAATAGAGACATTTATAAAGAAAAGGCTTTTTTTAACAAAGCGATTAAACAGGACGGTGATTAAAGCCTTTGTGTGGTGACATACGTGGCGGAAAGACGACACCAGAAGATTAGAACGTTTTGAAATGTAAATTTGACGAAGACTGGAGAAGACTAATTTGACAGAAAAATAATACGAATGTGAAAATATTAGAGGTAGGAGAAGAGAAGAGAGGTACGTTGAAAAACAAACAAACAATAAACTAAAAGAAGAAATGGATTGGGCATGTAGGAGAAAGGTTGATGAGGGAAGTGTTAGAAGGAAGGAAGGAAAGGAAAACGATGTGAAAAGAAGAGGAGGACGCTGTTAGACAAGCTGAAAGAAGGAAGAACGTATGATGATTTGAAGAGGAAGTCGGAAGATATGGAAAGGTAGAGAAGAATGGATGAGTGACAGCAATATATTGATTAACGTTTTGTGATTTGAGTGCCAGATTTGCTTACGGTAGAATACCAATGAATGAACAGATGGGTAAAGTAAGGTTAAAATGTTTATTGTCTCTTAGGTTCATGATGGAAGGTTAAAGATGTTTTATATCATGTTATAAAGTACGGTTAAAATGTTTATTGTCTCTTAGGTTCATGATGGAAGGTTAAAGATGTTTTATATTATGTTCGTAACAGATTGAAAAAGTAAGGTTAAAGTGTTTATTGTAATTATATCATGTTGGTAATAGACTGATAAAGTAAGGTTAAAGTGTTTATTGTCAATATTAGGTTCATGATGTAAAGTTAAGAATGATTTTATATAATGTTCGTAACAGATTGATAAAGTAAGGTTAAAGTGTTTATTGTCTCTATTATATTCGTGATAGACAAAGAAGGTGGGTGCTTATCATGTTGGAAACAGATCGTTAATTAACAAAGCTATATTATATCTCATGAACCAACGAATTTGCAATATATGGTAGGTTGTCTGTTTTTTTAACGCAAAACTACACAATGGGCTATCTGCGCTTTGTCCACCGCAGGGAATTGAACCACAGATCTTGCGTTATGAGCCCTAAACCTACTGATGACCCACCGGAGACAATATATGGTATCACGTTTCAAATAATTAAAATATCTTTACTCACCACAAGGTGTCTCCTCCCCCCTTTTTTTTAGTTGAAAGCAATCACTTAATTTTCTATACCTATCACTCGAAAACTTTCTCTTTGGAGGAGCGGAATGATTTTTCTTGAAGGTGTAGTTTAACTAATAAACTAAATAATAATATTTTTAGTAAGAAAAATTCAGCTACATTTAGTTTACTTAAC